CTTTGTTTTGGATGAGAAGCGAAAATAGGTAGTTGCTGTAAGAAAAATCACATTTGTGTATGATTTTTTCGAAAAATGTTGGACTTTAACGTAGTTTTTCTCTGCATCTTTTCGTTTAGATGGTTTAACAACAGCTTATGGTATCAAAGATGATGTTCTTGAAGACAAATGGCCTTCAATTCAAACAGCATTGGTTCAGTTACGTAGAGATGTATTACACGGAAAATGTATGAAAGTTGATCAACATGCACAATCGAATGAAACTGGTATAAGCAATGGAAATGATGATGAAGAACAACAACAACAATTGAACACAACCAATGATAATGAAGATCAAGATCAAATAAATCTAGATAATAGTGAAGATGATGAAACAAATGAAGACAGTGAAACTGATTCAGAATAGGTATACCTATAGGTTAGAAACACTATTTTTTTGTTTTTTTTATTTGATTGTGAACGAATAGGTGAAAGATAAGAAAAAGGTTTTTTTATTTTTTTGTTTCACTTTCATTTCATGTATTTTTCTATAAATCGTGATAATTTTGTTGAAATAACTTAGTTAGAATTCTATATTTTTCTTTTTCAAGTTTTTTCCAAACTTGCAACTTGTCAAAAAAATGCATATGCGTTTTTTTGTGGTTAAAGATTTATTTTTTTATTTTTTGTTCCCTTAAGATTTTGTTATATACGTGAATTGTTGTTTCACTTTATGATGTTTAATAGAACAGATATAAGAAGTACAACACAGTTCTCTATGACAAAGCCTGTTCACGGTTACTTGCGGATCTTAAAAGGATATCAAACTGATCTTTTGTAGCTAAACAAAAATATAGTTGGAAGAAGGTAGGTCAATTAGTGAACCAAGCAAGAATCCTACCATAACAACGTGATTCCTCTCGCGAAATCGGGATTCCCACCGGGAGAAATCACGACTCCTAGCAAATCCCGTCGTGATTGTGAAACATAAGCGAGGACTCCTGCAGCGACAGCGTGATTTCTCACTTAGTGAGCAAGTTTCACGCCGCGACATAGCGATTGCAACAAACTCAAATCTGATGATCGTGACTTCTTCGTGATCGCGAAAATCGCGAATCATTTCGCGAGAATCTTAGTAATCCTCTTACGTGTTCACGCCGTGACTTTTTATCGGGAGTCCTGCTGTGAGTTCATCATGAGAGTTGACCTGGGAAGGCATATTTCTTGAAATTTTAGAAAGAGCTCATATTAAAGCCACTCTTAAAAAATGAGCTCGAGATCTTAGGACTCATCATAGATCTATTTTTATTTTACAATATATTATCCAATATTAAGATATTCGAACTTCTCTTACCTAAAGCGCTAATACAGCATTTAAATAAGACTGATTTCTCTTCAGTTTGGTCTCAGGTCAAACTTTCCAGCAGTTGCCATCTTGTTGTATATTTCTATTGAACTACTATCCATTTCAAAATATAAGATACTCGGATGTTTCTTAAATAACTTGTAAAGAGAAAGAGTTAGAAACTTGCGCTTTTCAATAATCAATAGAGGATACCGAGGGACATGATTCTGTGAAGAATGTGATTCAGGCAAAGGTCCAGTCCTGTGCTCCTTTTGACTGAAAATCTAGGACACCCGACCTTTACCAAAACAGTTTTGGATTTTGGATTCCGAGATGTGGATTCGACCCAGGGAACTGTTCTCTTTAATTCTACACAACTTGAAACTCTTAACGCTCTTGTATGGTATTTTTTAACTCTTCTATTTCTCATACATTTTTCACCTCTGCTTCTTTATGGCAGAGATTTATCATTAGAAAAGCACATAGAATTACTTAAAGTTTATTTATCTCCGAGGTAAAAATAAAGGCAAAAGCTTCGTGCTTTGAGCAGAATATTTAAATCTGTGCGATCATCACATTTATAAAACTTTTACTTTTTGCCTATTATCAACTATTGTTCAATAATTTTTAGTAATGATTTTATTTGCATCTTACTAACTTATATTCAAAAACTAACTGCACGTATGATCACTAATGGTTTCACAACGGATACTGCTACACTCATTAATAAATTGCACCTGTCTGATTTTAATACTAGAAGAAAATATTTTCGTTTAGCTTATTTCGTAGATTAATCCTTGGTCGTTGTGTCCTTTCCAAGTTCAATCTAGTCACACCACTAACTGCGAGAGTCTCTAATATAGACAATCAAATCGTTGTCTTTTTGTGGACTCAGATTAATTTCAACAGAAAGTCTACTAGCTCTTGCTTTTCTACCGCTTGAGATAATCTCTAAATTCTTCGTTAGTTCGTTTAAATATGCATTACATAGCTATCTATTATTCAAAGAAGAATGTCTTTGTTGTTTGTCCTTCGCTATATTTTTTTTTATTACTATTTCTAGTAGTCTACTTTTGTCTTTCTCTTTTGTGTCGTTCTATGGAGTGATTTTAATATAAGATCGTGCTTTTATCATATCCATGTAAAGTTTTAAGTAACGTTTTAAAGTAAAGTGTACTCTTTTTCTCTTTGTTCTCGACATTTAAAATGTCTGTCAACCTACATCGTAAGATTGAAAAACGCCTTCATCAACAAGAGAGAATAGAAAAGAGGAGATTTGTCATCATTGGCCTATATCTTATCATGATGATCTAGACCTCAAATGAAATTTAACTAGTGCGAATAAAAATTCTCCAAGCACTCTGGTATTTATTTGGGAATAAATGTGTTTTGATCCCCAAAAAAGTGACTTTTGATCCCCAAATTTATTAACAGTGAAATGATCCCCCAAAAATAAGACTTTTGATCCCCAAATCAATTAAAGATATATAAATTAAAGAAAATATATACAAGAAGAATATATAGCAATTTAATAGAAAATTCATTGCTAATTAATTAGTGGACAGACAAGAAAAAGAATATAAAGAGAATATATACAAGAAATGAGCATAAATATGAACAGAATATAATAAATATGAAAGAAATATGAAATATGTCAACAGTTGGCGGTTTTCGAAATTGTATTATCAACGATTAATTTTTTGAAAATTTCATTGGTTTTGCCAACTCACAAGAGCTATAAATACCCCTAATACCCCTGAGCTATAAATTACCCTATTGGTGAGAAAATAGAGTCAATGTGCATGCTTAAGACTAACCCAGTTGCTGTCATTTAGGTACGAGGGTGCTGCGTTTGGTAAACCGTCCACGAATAATGGTTGCGAATCGATGAATGCCATTATAAAACAAAAATATACACTCCGTAATAAGTTACATTTATCGGCGTTTCTACCAAAAATGGAACAAATGTTAACAGATTGTCAGAGGCAAGTATTTCATCACCATTTGCTGCTCTTACAAGTATATCTCCTGATACGGAGCTGCATGCTTACAAATTGTCCGTAAGTATAAATCGATCTGATATTTTGCATTGGTTTAATACATTTTATGTTGTTCCATCATCCACGACAACAATAACAACGACAGTTTGGTTTGATTGTATCGATCTGGTCAATGGGCATCATTTGACGATTTTGTAGCATGGCAGACATCATGTTGGTTAGTGTCACCGCTTACATCGTGTACGTGTCCAATTGGCCTCAAGCAATACACCTGTAAGCATTCAGTTGGATTAGGCATTTTATTCGACATGTACCAAGTGACGGACAAAACTCGTTGTGAACCATTGGGTAAGAGAAAAGGTAAAGATCGTCCGAAAAAGGTTCGTACAGCTTTGTTGCTATAAAGTGAGTATTTTTGTTGTATATTTTTTCTTTAATTTAAATATCTTTAATTGATCTGGGGATCAAAAGTCTTATTTTTTGGGGATCATTTCACTGTTAATAAATTTGGGGATCAAAAGTCACTTTTTTGGGGATCAAAAAAATTGATACCCTTTATTTGTCCTTCTCTCTATATATATCAAGAATATTAGCACATTCGCACTACTTTTTCTCATTTCATTTCACTATACCGGTGTTTCCTGCTCTATTATCATTTACATCCGACAATGAAACTGTTAACAACATTCGTTCTATGTATATTCGTTCGAATTGTGCAATCAGATAAAGTATTAAAAAGTACGTATATCATCGCAAGATATATAGAAGTAAGGCCATTTTACACACAGTACCATACAAAGGAACAGAGTCCGACAGTTTTTGTCGAGTAATTCTAGATGTGTTTGTCAACTTTTTGATTTTAGTATTCTGTAATCTTGAATTAATTTTCAGTTTATAGAAAATCGACTGAAAAATCGTCGGGGATTTTCTAGAAAGTGGAAATTTGTCCGAGAATTTCTAGACCAAATACTTATTCATCTTTTTGTTTTGCAGTCAGTGTAGGTATAAGAGCGTCACGTAAAGACACTCATATTACACTTACATCAGCTTTGAGAGTTTCTAGTTTACGTCACAATTCTGCCTATGCCAGCAAGGATTTTGATTTAGGCAGAGACAGTGGTGGCGCGAAGTTTTGGTAGGAAGGACCCAAAATCGGAGACGTTCACCAGAAATTTCTGAAAAGCATGAGCGGGGGGTCAACCTCTATACAACCTGGTCGCGCTGCCACTTGGTGCAGACCCGCCAAGAAAATTCCAGTTTATAGAAAATCAAAGAGGAATTTCTACTTTCTTGGGAATTATTTATGGAAATTCAACGACGATTTTCTAGATTGTTGGAAATTCGATTTTCTATAAACTGGAAAATCCTCGAGGAATTCCTATAGGTACTATTTGAAATTCGCCGGGCATTTTCCTTAAATAATTTCTAACCTTTCAGTGCAGTGACCATACACATGGACATGAAGCTTTAAATGTTATAGAAAATCTTGTTAGGATGGTACCTTCTGTACCCAAAGGTGAAACTCCCTATACTGATCAAGATAGGTCAATAAAAATCGGCGATAAATGAGCAAAAGTGGTATCAGATTTTAAGTAGGCTTAAAAAAACCCATCATAGCACCGTTTTTTGAGTATATAACTGATACTCCTTCTTCGAAGACTTGGAAGGAGTTTCACAAGTTAAGAGGTTGTGACCGACGCAAGTGGTTGTGATCGCCAGTTTAAGAGGTTGTAACCGAAAGTGATATCAGTTTCTAAGTAGGTTAAAAATAGCCCATGATAACACCAGTTTTTGAGCATATAACTGAAAGTCCGTCTTCTTCGAAGACTTGGAGGGAGTTTCACAAAAGCGCCGAGCTCTTTAATTAATCTCTTTTATTTGAAAGACTAATCAACAAGTTTTAACAGTTTCTTCGACATGGTCATTTAGGTCAAAGACAAACAGTAACAAACTGTAATCCGAATCCATGTGTAAATGGAGGCTGTGTCATTGGTGTAGTCCCTGAGGCATGGACGTGTACTTGTAATCCTTGATACACTTGCCCCTTGTGTGACACTCAAGGTACAGATATTTAGTTTTGAG